GAGCTGCCTCTCCGTCCGCTGCCACAACCGGCGGCATGGCACCGCCGTCCGCGAGGATGTCAGGTCAGGGCCCGCCACCGCCGCCCCCGCTGCCTGGGCCCGCTGGGCCCGGTACCTCGCAGCAGCCGCCCCCGAGGCAGAGCCCTGCTCCCCGGGCTCCGGTGCTCCCCGGGCTCCGGTGCTCCCCGGTGGAGCCACCAGCTCCGAGCCCCGAACCAGTGCTGCTCCGCAAGGCGTGAGCTCTTGTCTGTACGTGGTCGAATGCTGCTATAACCAGGCTGTTTGTGACTCCGGAAGGGTTGATCCTGACTGAGCGATACACCTGGATAGAAGAGCGCTGGTGGTTAAGCCACGTGCTTGCCACTGCCATCGTCTCGGCTGTCCTTGTGTCCCTCTTGCCTTCCCCTCACTGCCTGGCTGTGTCCCGGCCCTCTCGCTGTCCCTCGCTCCCCGGCCAGCACTCTGCTGTCCTGTGTCCACTCTCGTTTACTGCTGCTGAGCTGTTTTACTCTGCCTTTTAGTTCGAGAAATCTCTCTGCCTTTTGTAGCAAAACCTGTAGCTTTGATCATTGAAATTGCTGGCAAATGATAGCTCCTGCCTTTTTCCAGTCAGGTAGCAGGACACTAAATATTGGTGCCTGGTAGCATTCCCTAGCTGCCTTCACCTCACCATAAGGGAAAGGTGTTGTCAAGTTTCCCCCTCGCAGTTCTCCATTCTGCAGCCTTCTCTTATCTGAACGGCTCGTTTCTGTCCAGGTCGGTGGATCTGCTCGCGTGTGCAAAGACTGTTACACTACTTCTCCCCTTGCCTTCTTACAATGTAATTTTACAATGTAATTTAATCTTGTGCCTTAAAGCCTTTCTTGCTATGTTCTAGCCTGCTCTTCCAGATGCAGAGGAGCTGCAGAAATGATATGTGCTTTAAGAGAGTAAGACACAAACGCGCAGGTATCAAGTTTTCGTTGATGGCTCTGCTGTTTCTGGACAGCAGCAATAGAGGCGCTGTTGGGAACAAGAGCTGGGGCTGCTCTGTAGTGTCTGGTTGTGGCTGTTGTAACTCTCAGTTCCTTCGTTTCTCCTGTGTTTGAGCTTTCTTGCCCCAGCCTTTGCTGAGCAGAAAGCCAGCCCACACATCTGACTGGTATGCTGGCAGCCTACATCACCATTGCTTCCCCCATTAATGCTTTCTCAACGTTTGCAGGTTCATGCAGGTGAAGTTTGGTTGTGCCCGGACCCAAAAATACAGCAAGAAGAGAAAGCAGCAGCCCAGCTTGTGTCCAGCTTATTTTGTCTTGCAATATGAGGAGGACATAGACCAGCTTGTGATCAGCGAACTGAACAGCGACCATGTCCATGCGGACCTGGTGTTTTCCCTGGCCAGAGCCACTGCTGCGATGGCAAGCACCGTGGCATGCGACGGCCCCGCAACAAAACTGCGTAAGCAGCAGGAGGCAGGTGGGACTGACAGCGATGCCACGGCGGGTGAGGACTCGCATGCCGTCACGGGACAACTGGTGGATGGGGCGCTTGCTCCGTACAGGGCTCCCATGCTCCCTGAGGCAGCGAAGGAAAATGGCTCAGCCTCAGCGCTCGTCAGGGTTGCTGAGGTCATGAAAACCTTCCTGAGGCTGGACAGGGGCTCGCTGGCCTCGATTAGTGCAGATGGCGACCACGGCCTGGATAGGCTCAGCTTCCAGACTGGCAAGATGAAGAGCTCGTTCATGCAGTTCCCTGAGAGCCTCCTGCTGCACAGGGTGCCAAGCGAGGCGGGACACGTTCTCTACGCTTTCCTTGTGGAGAGTCAGGAGCGAGCGGGGAGAGTAGTGCACTTGTCACTGCTGAAGGACGACACAGGACATGGCATCAGGAAGATGCTGACCGTCTTCAAGGAGTTCAACCCCGAGTGGCAAAAGGTCCAGGCTGTTTTCGTGGACGTGTCCTTCTTTCACAAAGCCATCCTCCACGAGTTCTTTCCCTCTGCCCAGGTGCTCCTTTCTGTCTATCACACTGTCCGACTGCTTGAGAAGAACGTGAAGGAAGCAGAAATCTCCTCTTCCGTCAAGCAGAACTTGACGCTGGCCTTGCAGAGAGCCGTGTTTTCCCCTTCGGCTGCAAGTCTGGATGCCCTGTCCCAGCTGGCGAAGTGTGTGGTCAGCCCGGAGCTGTACAACTGCCTGCAAGCCAACTGGTTCTCCTGCGAGCTGCTGTGGCGCATGCACACGGAGAAGGGTCTGCGCTGCTGCAGCACGCACATGGACAGCCTGGACCTCATCACGCAACAAATATCCTGTCTCTTGGGCCAGCAGCCATCCTTGGAGGCGAGCATTCTTCGTTTTCTGGAGTGTGCGGACTACCTTGATTCCAGAGACTTGGAAAGCCTGAACTGGGGTGTCTCAGGCAGCGAGGAGGCTGGTCGGAGCAGCCTCCAGGAGAAGCCTGACGTGCGTGCCGGCGCTGCAGTGGAACCAGGCCCCATTTCTGGCTTTCTGGCTCTTACTGAGCACCCCAAGCCCGCTGGGCAGGCTGCCGCAGCCGGGCCAGGCTGCATGCTGGCCACACTCCGGGAGAGCTGTACGGAGCTGGGCTCCTGGCTGTGCCTGAAGGAGTGGGAGGTGGTGCAGGCGTCCACCCAGCTGCTCAGCCCTGCACCGGGCAGCCTCGCCATTCGGCTGCTGGAAGACGCGCACTGGGTGAGCCGCGACTGCCGGAGCTGTAGCTGCTGCCTCCCCCGCCGCCACCCGCTCCCCCCCCCCCGC